CATCTTTCTGCTGCTGTGGAGTGGCAGTGGGGCTGGCTCCCCAGAAGGGTTAAATCCCCGCACTGGAGGTGTATTCCAAGGAGCTGGTACAAAGCAAACCCTCCCACACTGACTGCTCTTTATTCTCCAATTCACAAAGAGAATGTTTCCAGCCTTTCCTCTCATGCACACACAAAAGATGCCTTTTTTTTTTTTTTTGGTATTTATCTTGGTTTGAATGTTTTCTGTTTCTTCTCACAGCTGCCCACAGTGATCCTTATGTGTGCAAACCCTGCCGAGCCTTACCCTGCACCTGGGCAGCTGCTAAAGGAGAAAAGTGCCTTCAGCTTCTGCATCCAACGGGATTAGAAGAAACTGAGGATGTGAGTGGATGGATTCAGATGTCACCCAAAGAGGCTGTGGCTGCCCCTGGAGTGCCCAAGGCCAGGCTGGACACTGGGGCTGGGAGCACCTGGGACAGGGGAAGGTGTCCCTGGTGGGATTTGGGGTCCCTCCACCCCAAACCAATCTGGGATTCTGAATTTGCCTGTGCCCTCTTGCCCTGCTTTCACCTGACCAGGAACTGAAGGGCAGTGAGCCCTCGTTTCTTTTTCCTTCCTGAATTACCAGAATTTGAAGTTTTGGTATCAATAACTCCGACTTATGGATAAAACCAGCTTGTGAATATTGTATAAATACCAGAAAACAAATTGACTGAGTCCAGTAGAAAGGAAACTGATATTCTACAGAGGGAATTTTCCAGGAGGAATGCTGCTGCATCCTTTTTCACCCAGTCTGCAGACGTGACCTCCTGCCCAAGAGCTGGGAGAGCCTCCCGAGGAGCCCAAGGCAATTCCCACCATCCCAGAGAGTGAGAAAGGCTCCTGGGAGGCTGAGGTCCTGCACCACACCGGTATTCCCGCCGTGATCTTTATTGCACTGGAGCTACGCTTCATTTACCTCCTCTTTTTCTGATATCTCTTAATGGGGCTGTAACAAGGCTCATGGAAATCAATGGAATTCAGCAAAAATCACATCAAAGACCGGGTATTTCACATGCCAGGAGCCGAAACAAGGGGTCATTTTCTGTCAGTCTTTGATCTGACGTGTTTGCCTGGGGCTCTGCTCAGTGCAGGCTGGAGCTGTGCTCGGAGGAGCGGTGGGAGCTGCTGCAGCACCCTCAGCAGCCACGGAGCCTCACTGCAACCCGAAATCCCCTGGGAGCCCCGAAATGCTATGGGAAGCCTGAAATTCCTTGGGGTCCCCGAAATCCCGCTGGAGCCCCAAAATCCCACTGGAGCTCCGAAATCTCCTGTGAGCACCGAAATGCCATGGGAACCCTGAAATGCAACGGGAGTCCCGAAATCCCATGGGAACCCCCAAAATCCCACTGGAGCTCCGAAATCTCCTGTGAGCACCGAAATGCCACGGGAGTCCCGAAATCCCATGGGAAACTGCTGTGGTTTGGGATTCGGGGGTTAATCCCCAACCCACAAGAGGGAATTGATCCAAGGCTCCAAGGACCAGCCGCACAGGAGAGCAGAAGCGGGGGCCGTGCCGGGTGGAAGCCGTGGGCACGGGGAATTCCCGGCGCCGGGCTCCTTCCCCGGGATGCCACGCACAGCCGGGGCAGCGTGGCTGCGTGTGCTCCTGGGATCCCCCTCCTCAGCTGCTGGGAGCCAGGGATCGGGATTAACCCGGGCCGGGCCGGGCTGGGAGCTGCCCGCAGGGATGCCCCCGGTGCCCGCAGGAACAGAGCTCCTGGCACGGCTGGGATGGGACCGGGGCTGCTCCGGGGGCAGCTGGGTGTGCTCAGCCTTCCCCTGTCCCGCAGCATCGGGGAAGGGGAGCCCGGCCCCTGCTGCTGCCCAGGGAGCACGCAAACAGGCAGGGATTTGTCCACTGGAATCGGCAGGGATTTGTCCACTGGAATCTGCAGGGATTCGTTCACTGGATTCAGCAGGGATTTGTTCACTGGAATCAGCAGGGATGTGTCCACTGGAATCAGCAGGGATTTGTTCACTGGAATCTGTAGGGATTTATTCACTGGAATCTGTTCACTGGAATCGGCAGGGATTTGTTCACTGGAACCTGCAGGGGTTTATCCACTGGAATCGGCAGGGGTTTGTTCACTGGAATCAGCAGGGGTTTATCCACTGGATTCAGCAGGGATTTGTTCACTGGAATCGGCAGGGGTTTGTTCACTGCAATCGCCAGGGATTTATTTACTGGAAGCAGCAGGGATTTGTTCACTGGAATCGGCAGGGATTCATTCACTGGAATCTGCAGGGGTTTATTCACTGGATTCAGCAGGGATTTGTGCACTGGAATCAGCAGGGATTTATTCACTGGGAATCTGCAGGGGTTTATTCACTGGGAATCAGCAGGGGTTTATTCACTGGAACCTGCAGGGGTTTATCCACCGGAATCAGCAGGGATTTGTTCCCTGCAATCGGCAGGGATTTATTTACTGGAAGCAGCAGGGATTTGTTCCCTGCAATCGGCAGGGATTTATTTACTGGAAGCAGCAGGGATTTGTTCCCTGCAATCGGCAGGGATTTATTTACTGGAAGCAGCAGGGATTTGTTCCCTGCAATCGGCAGGGATTTATTTACTGGAAGCAGCAGGGATTTGTTCCCTGCAATCGGCAGGGATTTATTTACTGGAAGCAGCAGGGATTTGTTCCCTGCAATCGGCAGGGATTTATTTACTGGAAGCAGCAGGGATTTGTTCCCTGCAATCGGCAGGGATTTATTTACTGGAAGCAGCAGGGATTTGTTCCCTGCAATCGGCAGGGATTTATTTACTGGAAGCAGCAGGGATTTGTTCCCTGCAATCGGCAGGGATTTATTTACTGGAAGCAGCAGGGATTTGTTCCCTGCAATCGGCAGGGATTTATTTACTGGAAGCAGCAGGGATTTGTTCCCTGCAATCGGCAGGGGTTTGTTCACTGCAATCGGCAGGGATTTATTTACTGGAATCAGCAGGGATTTGTTCACTGCAATCAGCAGGGGTTTATCCACTGGAACCTGCAGGGGTTTATCCACTGGAACCTGCAGGGGTTTATCCACTGGAACCTGCAGGGGTTTATCCACCGGAATCGGCAGGTTTTTGTGCACGGGAAGCGGCTGAGCGCGGGGCTGTGCCGGGGTTCTGGCGGCGCTGGCACCCCCGGGGGCTCAGCCAGGTGCCGGGGGCGCAGCCGCGCTCAGGGCGCTCCCGGGAGCCTCAGGGAGCGCTGCGGGCCCCGGGCTGTCTGCGGCAGCTTTCCAAACTAAAGGGATCCCCGGGGATGCTGCTGATCCACAGCGCCCCTTCCCTGAGTCGTTCGTGCAGCAACACCAGAGAGTCTGGTCATTACCCGATATTGTCTCAGCAGACAGCCCCGGCATGAGGAAAAGTGGTGAAGAATGTCCTCAGGGAGAGAAATCCATAATGTAGATATTAACAAAAGGCATGTCTCTTTGGAGTGCCCAGACTCATTTTTCAGACTTAAAAATGAAGGTGATGGGTCTAAACCTTTTATTTCAGTGCTAAATTGGCTTTTTGGCTGCCTAAAGTGCTCTTTGCAGTATCCAAGGGCCAAGGTGTGCACCAGAGGTGAGTGACATTGATCTTTCCTTCCCCCCACTGCATCCAAACCCAGCTCCTCGAGCACTGCATTTCATAGGAAGCACCCCTTTTTCTGTTTGTTGTTTTTTTTTTGCTGTTGATTTTGTCATTGTGCTTCCATTCCTCTGCTCAGCCCCAATTACCAGGATGTGGTTTTGAGTTTTACAAACAGCCACACACTAAAACATTTAGCAGTGATCCTGCGTTCATCTGATTTCTGTCATTTTGTGCATTATTCCAATCTCCACCTCCCAGTGTCTCTCAGGGTATTTAGAAGCAATGTATTTCCCTGATCTCGTGTTTAGCCACAGATCATCAGCATTTGATTCCAAAACTTCTAGGGTATTACCTTTATTAAGGTTATGTGCTGCCATGGGAATCAAACTCCTCTGCAACGATTTCAAACCGTGAAGCTGAACCATTTGTGTGTTGTGTGAATTCAGGCTTGGCCCATTTTGCCGTTATTCATTCCTTTAATTTTTTGCTGGAGCTGCTGGAAGCTGTGATGCCATCAGCAGAGGCTTGCTCAGCTCCTTCATTTCACAGCAGGGAGGAGACAGGCAGGAGAAATAAACCCAGGGGCTGTGAGGGACAAACCCAGGGGCTGTGAGGGACAAACCCAGGGGCTGTGAGGGGCAAACCCACAGGTTGTGAGGGACAAACCCACAGGTTTATAAGGGACAAACCCACAGGCTGTAAGGGAACACTGATGGCTCCGGGGAGCTCAGCCTGGAATCACCTGGGCTGGGCTGGACAGGGAGTTGCTCTCGGGCAGCAGGCTCCTCTCCACTTGTCTGCCAGGAAATTCATAGGATCCCAGACTGGTGTGGGTTGGAAGGGACCCCCAAAGCGCACCCATTCTCACCCCTGCCATGGCAGGGACACCTTCCACTGTCCCAGGCTGCTCCACTGGCCTTGGGCACTGCCAGGGATCCAGGGGCAGTCTCAGCTGCTCTGGGCACCCGTCCCCCAGCTCCCAGGGAAGAATTTCCTCCCAATATCCCACCTAACCCTGTCCTCTGGCAGTTTCGATCCATGCCATGCTATTTTCCCTGCCCACGGAAGGGTCTCGGCTGAGGGGCAGCCGTGGGATATCTGGGATACCTGAACTCGCTGATGCCGTGGCACTCGCACGGCCTGGGGAAGGGGGAGATCGGGGTCCCGGGAAGATTTGGGGGCTGAGGCTTCTGGGGATGGCCAGGAGCTTGAGGACCTCCGGGGCTCAGGGGTGTTGGGGGGTCTGGGAGATTTTAATGCTGAGGGGGGCTCCGGGAACTTGGGGGTGTCGGAGGTGCCGGCGCAGCGCAGCCTCCCCTGCCATCCCCCGCGGGCAGGGGCTGTCCCCGCACCTGCGGCCGCCGGGGATGACCCCAAAACCCCACTTGCTCCTGACCGAGCGGCGCTCCCAGCGGGAGCTGCACGGCGGCCGGCGCCCCCTCCTTCCTTCCTTCCCTCTGTCTGTCCGTCCGTCCGTCCCTCCCGCGGGGCTGGCGCGGCCCCGCCGAGCCCCCGCTGCTGCCGCTGCTGCCCGCGGCCGCCGAGCCGCTCCTGCACGGCCAGGTAAGGGCGGAGCCGCCGTGCAGGAGGACACAACTTTCCCGGAGCCGCTGCCCGGCGCCGGCGCCGGCACCCCCGAGACCCCCGCCCGCGAGGTGGGGGGAGGCGGCGGGACAGACCCCGCGGGGCGGCGGGGGCTCCCCGGGCTCTGCATCCTCCTTTTCCGAGCTGTGCATCCTCCGCTTCCCAAGCTCCGCATCCCTCCTTCCGCGGGCGCTGCATCCCTCTTTCCCCGGGTTCTACAGCTCCCTTCCCTGGGCTCTGCATCTCCCCCTTCCCTGGGCGCTGCATCCCCTCTTCCTGGGTTTTTCATCCCCCTCCCTCGGGGCGCTGCATCTCCCCCTTCTCAAGCTCTGCATTCCCCTTTCCCTGGGTTCTACATCCCCTTCTCCAGCTCTGCACGCCCCTTCCCCAGCTCTGCGTTCCCCTTTCCCTGGGTTCTACATCCCCTTCCCCAGCTCTGCGTTCCCCTTTCCCTGGGTTCTACATCCCCTTCCCCAGCTCTGCATTCCCCTTTCCCTGGGTTCTACATCCCCTTCCCCAGCTCTGCATTCCCCTTTCCCTGGGTTCTACATCCCCTTCCCCAGCTCTGCACCCCGTTCCCGACGCTCTGCGCCCCGCGTGTGTCGGAGCGCGGCACTTCCAGCGGCTCTGGGAACGTGCGGCGGGGATTTCTCCGGGAGGAGAGGGGCTGCCAGGGGGCTGCGGGTCCCTCCGGCGGGGCTGGGCTCCCCGGCGGCTGCAGGATGCGCTTTCCGCAGATGCAGCCGGACCGGGAGCGATGCTCCCGGCGCGCTCCGGCAGCCGGGGCAGCATCGCCGCCGAGCGTTCTGTGAATATTTATAAAGACGAAAGTTTTGAGCCGTGTCACTGGAACCGGCGTGTCGCGCCAGTGCTTTCCCTGATGAATATTTCAATTATTAATTGCTGCCGTGAGGCTGCTCGCATAGCGGAGCCCTCAGCCGGGCGTTCGCCCCTCTCAGCGGAGGGATCGGAGCCGTGCGCGCAGTTTTGCCTCGGCTTTATGTTTTTTTTTGGAAGACAGAAGTAAAAATAAACGCGAGCCGCGAGCGCTGTGGCGTCCGCTCGATTCCGTGTGATGATTTCCAGCCTTTTCGAGCTCGAGCGTCTCTTGTGGTTCGGGAGAAAACAGTCGGTGCTGCTCTAATGAAACGGGAACATCAATTATTCCCCAGCCGGAGACCGCTCGACGAACCTGCAGAGGTGGTTTTGCTGTGGGAACCCATCTGCCAGGCGAATTTAAGTTGAGAAAAGAAAAAAAAAAAAATGCATTTCTGCCGTTCCCTTTGGCTCTCCCGACGCACGTTCAGGCTCTCGCTGGCGCTGCACGGCTCAGTGCGAGCAGAGGAGCCCTCGCTGCAGCCGCTGCCCCCGTGCCCTGCTCCTGGCTGTGCTCTGCGCTTCCCGAACCCTCCGTGCTCCCACCCTGCCGTGCCCAGCCAAACGCAAACCCGTGTCGGGCTGAAGGGACATTGCTGGCATCTTCCGTGCTCATCTGGAAATCATGGAAAACATCGGTTTCCCACGGTAAAATCCTTTTGTTAACTCCTCCTCTCGTGTCTGTTTGGTTTTTTATTTTTTGTCCCATTCCGAAGTGGATATTTGGAGCTCACTCCCCGGTCGTAGGATTCTCCCCTTCCTCCAGCGTGGAATTCGTGCCGGTGCTCCCGCCCGTGTACAGCGCCGCGGTGCCGCCGCACGCCGGGAAGGGCTGGGTTGATAAAAGGCTGCCCAGCTGCAAAGTAAGTGCGAGCCTGGCGTGCCGAGGCGTTTTTAGGGCTTTTTTGGGGGAGTACATCAAGTACACGAGCTGAAGAGTGCTTGTGGGCTCAGGGTGTGAGAGGTCGGTGTTTGTCAGGAGGACCCTGCGAGGGGAAATGCTGGAATGCTGGAAGGGGCAGGTGATGGAGCAGCAGTTACAGCTTCACTGTTCCCGGGTTTTAATAGGACTAAAATGTGGCTAGTATTTATTCCTTTGAGTAGAATGTCCTCATTTTCATCCCGGATGTGATTATGGGGGTTTTCCATCTTCCCTTTCTCCCTGGTTGTCCCAAAGGGGTGCCACAGCCCAGTGCTGGCAGAGCAGTGTCACCATGGGCACTGCCACATCCCTGGTGCCAGGGTGGCCCTCGGGGTCGTGTGTCCCCATCCTACCTCTCTTCACCGCATCTGCTCCTCTGCCAACTGAGTGCTGAACACCTGGCTTTGTGCTGCTGTCCCTCAGCTGGTTTTGTGCTCTGTCCCCCTGTTCCTCGGCTGGTTTTGTGCTCTGTGCCCCTGTCCCTCAGCTGGTTTTGTGCTCTGTGCCCCTGTCCCTCAGCTGGTTTTGTGCTCTGTGCCCCTGTCCCTCAGCTGGTTTTGTGCCATTCTCCCCCCTGTCCCTCAGCTGGTTTTGTGCTCTGTGCCCCTGTCCCTCGGTTGGTTTTGTGCTCTGTGCCCCTGTCCCTCGGTTGGTTTTGTGCTCTGTGCCCCTGTCCCTCGGTTGGTTTTGTGCTCTGTGCCCCTGTCCCTCGGTTGGTTTTGTGCTCTGTGCCCCTGTCCCTCGGTTGGTTTTGTGCTCTGTGCCCCTGTCCCTCGGTTGGTTTTGTGCTCTGTGCCCCTGTCCCTCGGTTGGTTTTGTGCTCTGTGCCCCTGTCCCTCGGTTGGTTTTGTGCTCTGTGCCCCTGTCCCTCGGTTGGTTTTGTGCTCTGTGCCCCTGTCCCTCGGTTGGTTTTGTGCTCTGTGCCCCTGTCCCTCGGTTGGTTTTGTGCTCTGTGCCCCTGTCCCTCGGTTGGTTTTGTGCTCTGTGCCCCTGTCCCTCGGTTGGTTTTGTGCTCTGTGCCCCTGTCCCTCGGTTGGTTTTGTGCTCTGTGCCCCTGTCCCTCGGTTGGTTTTGTGCTCTGTGCCCCTGTCCCTCGGTTGGTTTTGTGCTCTGTGCCCCTGTCCCTCGGTTGGTTTTGTGCTCTGTGCCCCTGTCCCTCGGTTGGTTTTGTGCTCTGTGCCCCTGTCCCTCGGTTGGTTTTGTGCTCTGTGCCCCTGTCCCTCGGTTGGTTTTGTGCTCTGTGCCCCTGTCCCTCGGTTGGTTTTGTGCTCTGTGCCCCTGTCCCTCGGTTGGTTTTGTGCTCTGTGCCCCTGTCCCTCGGTTGGTTTTGTGCTCTGTGCCCCTGTCCCTCGGTTGGTTTTGTGCTCTGTGCCCCTGTCCCTCGGTTGGTTTTGTGCTCTGTGCCCCTGTCCCTCGGTTGGTTTTGTGCTCTGTGCCCCTGTCCCTCGGTTGGTTTTGTGCTCTGTGCCCCTGTCCCTCGGTTGGTTTTGTGCTCTGTGCCCCTGTCCCTCGGTTGGTTTTGTGCTCTGTGCCCCTGTCCCTCGGTTGGTTTTGTGCTCTGTGCCCCTGTCCCTCGGTTGGTTTTGTGCTCTGTGCCCCTGTCCCTCGGTTGGTTTTGTGCTCTGTGCCCCTGTCCCTCGGTTGGTTTTGTGCTCTGTGCCCCTGTCCCTCGGTTGGTTTTGTGCTCTGTGCCCCTGTCCCTCGGTTGGTTTTGTGCTCTGTGCCCCTGTCCCTCGGTTGGTTTTGTGCTCTGTGCCCCTGTCCCTCGGTTGGTTTTGTGCTCTGTGCCCCTGTCCCTCAGCTGGTTTTGCGCTCTGTGCCCCTGTCCCTCGGCTGGCTTTGTGCTCTGTGCCCCTGTCCCTTGGCTGGTTTTTTGCTCTGTGCCCCGTCCCTCGCCCCCTGTCCCCCAGGCTGGGGAGGTGGCCGCAGTCCCTGGTGCTGGTGGGGTCACTCGGGGTGCCTGTGTCAGGACCAGCAGTGGCTGTGTCAGGACAACGCTGCCTCCAGGAATTCCCGGCCTCCCGTGCGGCTGCAGCAGCTGATCTGTCATGTCAAAGCCAGTTAATTTTTAAGTGGTCACTTCACTTCAGCCTCACACTGAGGGACCCTGCTTTGGGCAGTTTGTCCCCAGCTGAGGCTCTGCCTGTTGAAACAGCGAGTTAGAGATGCTTTGTTGTCATTTGTATTTCTGAGTTTGGGATCTCAGACGGTAACGTTTTTGTCTCTTTCTGTTGGACAGATCTACTTGAACAATGCCTTTGCCCTGGACTCGGCCTGGATCCAGCCGGAGGAGTCCAGGCTGTTCCAGGGGGCTGAGAAGCCTCTGCTGCTGAGCAATCAAGTAGCCATGGCTGTAGCCAGGCCAGCTGCTGCCTCCAGACCACTGCCCACGCTCGTCCTGGCCCCTCAGCTGATCCCAGGTCAGGAAATAAGCACATCAATAATTAAGTATTGCCTGTTTCTCCGTGGTTTTCCCTTAATGCATCCCCCAGAGAGGCAAAGCTGCTCTCTAAAGCAGAGATTCACTTCCATTCAGCTGCAAGCCCTTGCTTGAGCAGAGCCTTGATGGCCGAGTGCAGCTCACCCTCTGAATGACTGAGAGGAAGAAAGGGCCGTGTGTAATTACAGCAGATTGTGCCAGGCTGCTCTGGAGCTGCCTGGTGACCTCTGCCAAGAAGGGAGCAACCACTCCCCACCTACTGAGTTGATTTTTCAAACAGAAATCGCTGTCAGCCTCAGTGATTCCATGGCTCTGTGGCACAGTCTGTGCAGGGTTCTGCTGGCTGCTCGTTTGCAGGGTTTGGTGGGGTCTGTGTAGACAGCCAGCAGGAGAGGAGCAGTGGATCCATCATCCCACCGAGGCTCAGCCATTTGTGAAATAAATTCCATTAATCTGCATAACTGAACACAACAACTAAAAGTTACGAATATTAACTGTGCAAATATTCTGTGGTGCTTTAGGTAACTGAGATTTACACCTGGTAAAGAGCATTTATGCTTGGACAAGAGCAGACCATGCCTCCCCGCAGGGCTGCATCTCTGTTTTGTGGCTGCAGGAGTAAATTAGAATAGCAGTTCTACACAGAAGGCTGAGGAGAAAGTGCCACTGGTGTTTCAGCCCCTAAATACAGTCCTAAACTGGGAGCTGGAATTACTGGCTTGGTGCCAGTTCCTGCCCTGCTCAGAGCAAAGGTGCTGTCCCTGGGGTTGAGCGCAGAGCTCCCCTTTCCACGGGCTCTCCCCAAAAGCAGTTTGTATTTCAGAGCTGTGCCGTGCCCAGGATGTGGTGTTTGCCATCAGGGCTGAGGTTCGGAGTGTGCTGGAAGGGATCCTGGCTCCTGGGCTCGTTACCAACCTCATTAATTAGCAGGGAGTGCCCTGGCACGTGTTGGCCCCTTCACCTGGGTCAGTATTCTGGTGTTTGAGCAGAGCTGTGGCTCAGCCTCCTCTCCTCCTGCCAGCACTGCCCAGGGCTCAGCTGTGGGGAAAGCCTGGTATGAATTCATCTCTGTTTATTAGAGGATTTTTTGGTATTTATTCCACAAAAGAGCAGCTGCATGCCTGGGCTGCCTGGGGAATCAGAGGATGGGTGTGCTGCTGAGGGAGGGGGTCTGGGAGCCACAGCCCCTCCTGTTCTGCACCTTTTAAAGACTTCAGTGTTTTGAAATAGTTCAGTATTTTAAACGTGCACAAGTGTATTTTATCACATGCAGAAGGGCAGATATAAGGAAAGAGCACTCTGGGATCACAGAATCCTGGAACGGTTTGGGTTGGAGGGACCCCAAATCCCAGCCAGTGCCACCCCTGCCATGGCAGGGACACCTTCCCCTGTCCCAGGTGCTCCAGCCCCAGTGTCCAGCCTGGCCTTGGGCACTGCCAGGGATCCAGGGGCAGCCCCAGCTGCTCTGGGCACCCTGTGCCAGGGCAGTCAGGAATTCCTTCCCATCCTTGTTGAGCTGTTGCTGCGGTCGGTGCCACATCCTGTCCCAGGCTGGGTGGGGCTCCAGAGCTGGTGAGGGACCCGTGGCCCTTCCTGCAGGGTGGCACCATCCCTGTCCTGCAGGCAGAGCAGGAGCTGCTTCCCCAGCTGCTATGGCAGCACTGGAAGTGTTTCCTGTGCAATATCTGCCCTTAATGTGAGGAGTAATAAAGATCCTGGAGCAGGTTCAGTGGGATGAGGGGACCTAATCAGGTTTCTGTGTGGGATTCACTCCGGAGCAGCTCTGCCTTCCCCAGTTATCAGCAATGATAGAATTGTTTTCTCACTGGAGCTGCAGCCTTGCTCAGCTCCAGGAGCGAGCACGCATCCTGGCAAGGGTAATGTGCATAATTTAACAGCTGCAGCCCCAGCTACTCCAAGGTGCTATTAGCTGTGAGAAGCAGCAGTTATTGTTCTCTCCCCAAGTGCAAACCATGAATTATGTGCTCTTGTTGTGTGTTTCTGAGGAGAAGGATGCCCTTTGCCCCTGGCAATGACGCCTGGCTCCTGTGTGCTCTGGGGAGGAAGGCAGCATTTCATGTTTCTGCAAAGACAGCACTGGTATTTCTGGGAGGGAAGGACTCATGTTTCTGTCTCCTGCGCTGTGTGGGTGAGGTCAGGGCTGGCCAGGTGCCCTGTGCCACTGTGCCAGCTGGGTTCCTGCACATCCCTGTGAGCTGGGTGGCTGCTGGATGGGGTGAGGCAGTGCTGGCAGCACCCCGTGGTGGGTTCTGGCACTCCTTAGGTGGAAGCTGGAGCCCCGGGGGTACAGGACATTGATTGGGGTCACTGGGAGGTGTGCTGGGGTAGTCTGGCACTCCTGGTGTCAGGACCGTGCCACCAGTGCTCCCTGGCCTGGGGGTGTTCTCATGACTGTATCTGGGGAGGTTTTCATGGAATTGTGGAATGCTTGGGGCTGGAATGCACCTTAAAGCTCATCTGGTTCCACGTGTCTCCTGTGGGGAGATGAGGATGTTGTGTGGGGCACCCCAAGGGAATTACCTTTTGATCCTTCTGGTTCACGTCTTTCTTTTCTCCTGATGGCAGTACCCATTACAGAACCAAGACAGTGCCAGCATGCAGATACACACCCAAACACAGGCCCAGCTTGCTAGGTAATCCCATTTCCAGATTCTGAATGAAATAGGGCTGCTCTCTGTTAAATCTGGGCTCTGTTTTCTCATGAAATACACCACCCAGGACCTCTGACCTCCTGTATTGCCTGAGCACAGCTCTGTGTTTGAAGCACATCTCCATTTACAAGCACTCAGGTTTTGGCTTCGCAAATGGGATTATCTTGTATTGAAGCACGTGTGCTGGGGCTCCCTGTTTTGGGACGGAGAACAGCACAGCAGGACCCCATTCGTGTCCCTGAAAAGCCATCAAACCTCTCTTTGTTTGTGGAGCATTCAAGCACTGCCAGCCAAGTGCTTTATTAGGTCTGGGAATGCTTGGCTTTAACCACAGCCTTCACAAAGTTTTTGTTTTGCTCGTTAAGTTTATGGGGTTTTTTTGGTTATCTTTACCCGTTATCTCCCCAAATGAAGAGACTTGGCTTTAACCACAGCCTTCACAAAGTTTTTGTTTTGCTAGTTAAGTTTATGGGGATGCGTTTCCCGTTATCTCCCCAAATCAAGAGAAACTTTGAGTGAAGTTTGCTTTCCCACTTAAATGACAGCAATAACCCCCCGAGCAATGTGTTTATGGGCAAGGCTGCTGTTCTGACCTTTCCATAGCATCATCCCCGCTGAGCCCACAGCTCCAGTGTGAACGAATCCAGCTCTCGGTGCCGGCAGGGCAGGAGCAGCCGGGGGTTTCCATTCACTGCACACCAGCAGCAAACTGAGCGGGTGTTCCTGGCACTCACTGGGCTTCCAGTGGCAGTGCAGCCGCTGATTTCCCCCTTGGAGAGCAGGGATGTCAGGAAAGCAGGGATATCAGGAAAGCAGGGACATCCCTGGCTTTGTTTGTTTCCCTTTGCAGGGCTACTGCTGTGTTTGTTTGTGTTTGCAGGGGGATATCCCTGTGTGTGCTCCCTTTGCAGTGGGATATCAGGGTTTTCAGTGTTTTTTAGGAACTCTAAACACAGGCACAGGGTCAGGTTGAGAAGGAGGTGAAAGTTTTGCACAAACCCGAATTTTTCCACTGGAATGTCCACCCCCCCTCCTGTCTCACACACGTTTTCACATCACCTCCCTGCTGCAGAATCCTTCCACCTCACGCGTGTCCCTGTGCCTGGGCCCTTTTGGGGGGAATTTTTCCACTGGAATGTCCACCCCCCCTCCTGTCTCACACACGTTTTCACATCACCTCCCTGCTGCAGAATCCTTCCACCTCACACGTGTCCCTGGGCCCTTTTGGGGATCCTTTTGGGGTCTCTGGTGTCTGTGGGGAGGTGCCCCCCACTCAGCTCTGCACAGGGTCAGCCCAGGTCAGTGCCAGGAGGAGGTGCCACGTCCCCTCGGGCTGTTGCCCAGCAGGTTGTACAGCACAGGAGCTTTCAGCAAACTGAGCAGCACCTGTCTGACACACCTGGGAACACCTGTCTGCACTCAGAGGGGGCTTGAGGTGACAGTGGCACCGTCGGGCTCCATCTGCAGCTGAGGTCAAAGGAAGGGACAGCGAATTCTGCCTCAAGTCCTGGAGCTTAAAAATGCAGAGAATCCTACTTAAAAATAGTGAAAATACTGCCTAAAGACTCAGAGCTTAAAGATGAAGAGAATCTGACTTTAAAATGCAGAAAATTCTGCTTAAAGCCATCAGAGCTGAAAGATGAAGAGAATCCGACTTAAAAATACAGAAAATTCTGCTTAAAGCCATCAGCTGGGCTGGGGGCTGTGAGGGGCTGGGCTGAATGCAGCACAGCACTGGGGGCTCCTGTTACAGCAGGGCTGGTGCTGAGGATGGTTTTGGGAACAGGAGCACTGCCAGTGCCCAGGGAGGGCTGGAGTGCCCATCCCTGGAGGTGTCCCGGGAATCCCTGGAGGTGGCACTCAGAGCTCTGGGCTGGGGACAAGGTGGGGATGGGCACAGCTGGGACTCATGATCCCGGAGGGCTTTTCCAGCCCCAGTGACTCTGGGATTCAGAGGAGCAGTTGGCACCTCAGTGCCAGGGTGTACCATGACCTGGCAAAAGCAGACCTGGGGAAAACACCATTGCTGGAAGAAATCCTGCCTTTTCCCCTCACTGCAATGTCAGTGATGGTGTTTGACTCCTCTTTTCCTGGCCTGTGACTGGAAATTCCCCCTGTGAGTGCGGGGTGATCGATGGTAACTCTAAAACCCTTTCAAGGCCTTTTTGAAAAGAACTCCCTGCAAGGTCTGGTTTGTTTGTGAGGAGAATTCCTCGGGTGGGTGCCCCAGCTGTGGGGCAGTCCTGGCCCAGCTGGCAGTGCCCTTGGCAGAGCTGGGCTGTGTTTGAGTGCCCGACTGGGGGATGCTGTTGGGCTGAGGCACAGCAGGACCCCCTGAGCCCTGCTGTGCTCTGCCCAGCACTGAGCCCCAGGGCCAGCCCTTCCACCATGGAGTGATTCACCAGGAGAGACAGAGAGAGCTTCATCAAAGGAGGGGAAACCACCCAAACTCCTCTTCCAGCTGAGCAATGAAACTTTGATGAGGGGATGGATGCAGGTTTAATGAGGCAGCCCGGCTCAGCACAGGCTGTGCCTGCCCGGCTCACATCACTCTGCTGTTCTCCTGCCCTCTTTGGGGAAATCACATCCTCCTCTCCACAAGAAAAGAATCAAATGAGGAGTAAACAACCTTCCTGCTCGTGTGCCCTGCAGGAAGGCACAGCAAAGTCGTGTTTGCAGGCAGCATTAGCTTTCACAGGAGCTGCAGGAGAGGTTTTGTGGGTTTCTCCCAGCAGCAGGCAGCTGGAATTGGGAATGAGCACGGGCTCTTGGAGGGCAGGTGTTTGACCCCACTGAAGGATTGTTCCACTTCCCAGATGAATGAACAATGAGCTTGTGTTTAACACGTGGATTGGTTGGACACTGATGGGTTTCTATTTTTTGTTTCTTAATATCCACTGTTGGTCTGGCAGAAAAATCAGTTTCATTTATCTATTGCTAAATTATCAAAACTTAAATATTTGTGGGGTTTGTTTGGCCTGTGTGCCTGTTACTGAGTGCATCTGCAGGTTCCTTGGCATGGAGGAATAATGACTGTGGAAATAATGAATGTTTTTCGTGACACTGAAAACACTAAATTTCTGTTTTGTAAATGCAGGGCTTATTCTATTGGGAAGTAATTGTTTGTAAACGGTTGGGACAAAGCTGGGACACCTGGGGGTGCTCACCTGGAGAGGAGCAGCTCCAGGGAGAGCTCAGAGCCCTGCCAGGGCCTGGAGGGGCTCCAGGAGAGCTGGAGAGGGACTGGGGACAAGGATGGAGGGACAGGACACAGGGAATGGCTCCCACTGCCAGAGGGCAGGGCTGGATGGGAGGTTGGGAATTGGGAATTGTTCCTGGCAGGGTGGGCAGCCCTGGCACAGGGTGCCCAGAGCAGCTGTGGCTGCCCCTGGATCCCAGGCAGTGCCCAAGGCCAGGCTGGACACTGGGGCTGGAGCACCTGGGACAGGGGGAGGTGTCCCTGCCATGGCAGGGGTGGAATGAGTGATTTTCCAGGTCCCTCCCAGCCCATTCCCTGATCCTGTGAGCTCACCCAGGTCCTTGCTGGGATTCTCCTGCCTGGAGTTGTTTAGGGGCTGCATCCCCCACTCCACAGCCTCGCTCCCTGCAGCCATTCCCTGTTCTGGGACACACACAAAGGGAGCCTCAGGGCGAGGGAAAGCCTGCCCTGGGGTCAGCTGGGGATTTTTGGAGCCCCAGTTCTCTCCCAGAGCCTGCAGGGTTTGCACGCGGGCTGAGCTTTGCTGGATGCCACGAGAAGCTGATGATTGCTTAATTTCTGAGTCTGAGCTCGGGTGGAGGGAGGAACAGCTGCTGTTTGTCAGATTGCCTCTGCTCCTCAGGAGTTTTACCACTCCTGCTCTTGTTTATTTAACATAATTAGCCGAGATTGAGCTCTGAAGGTCCTCGCTGGCACTGTCAGGCTGGGGAGAGGATGGTGCAGGGGCTGAAGGGTGTTCAGGGGTTTATTTGGGACATTCCTGGGTTCCATCGGCAGGGGCTGCCCAGGGAGGGCTGGAGTGCCCATCCATGGAGGTGTCCCAGGAATTCCTGGAGGTGGTACCCAGAGCTCTGGGCTGGGGACAAGATGGGGCTCTTGTCAGGATTTAGACTTGATGACCTTCAGGCCTTTTCCACTGTCAGTGACTCTGTGGTTCTCTGATTGCTGAGCTCCGGGGCCCAGAGCTGAACACAATAAACAGATTTATTCACGTCCTGCCTGCTCAGGCCCTGCTGTCTCTGAGGGGGCACGCAGGGCCGGGTGGGACGTGCTGCGTCTTGTTCCATCCCGTGTCCAAACTCAGAGTGCTGCTGAGCACAGCACTGTCCCCAGCCCCTCTGCTCTCCCCGCAGCTCTCACTCGTGTCTCTCTCTCCCACAGGTGGTTGCCAGAACAGCCTTAAAGCCGCGGGTGGCACTCAGGGCCTGGCGCTGGTGGCCCTGGAGCCCGAGGCCCCCCAGGCCCCGCCGGGGCCCGGCCTGCAGCCCTGCCACCTCCTCACCTTGTCCCCCATCAAGGTCCCGCTCCTGGCCTCGCCCTTCCCAGGTAAGGGCCATGCTGGGCCCCAGGACAGTTCTGGGCACACGGGGGGGTGTGGGGGTTTGGGGAATGCTGGGCATGGGTGGCACTGCAGGGGTTAAATTGGGGGCTCTAGAGCAGCTTGGAGGCATTCTCTGGATTGTCAGGAGAGGGTCACAGCTCTGGTCTGTGTGCCAGGAGTGGGTCACAGCTCTGGTCTGTGTGCCAGGAGAGGGTCAGAGCTCTGGTCTGTGTGCCAGGAGTGGGTCAGAGCTCTGGTCTGTGTGCCAGGAGTGGGTCACAGCTCTGGTCTGTAAGGAGTGGGTCACAGCTCTGGTCTGTGTGCCAGGAGTGGGTCACAGCTCTGGTCTGTGTGCCAGGAGGGGGTCACAGCTCTGGTCTGTGTGCCAGGAGTGGGTCACAGCTCTGGTCTGTGTGTCAGGAGTGGGTCACAGCTCTGGTCTCTGTGCCAGGAGTGGGTCAGAGCTCTGGACTGTCAGGAGAGGGTCAGAGCTCTGGTCCGTGTGCCAGGAGTGGGTCAGAGCTCTGGGCTGTGTGCCAGGAGTGGGTCAGAGCTCTGGGATGTTTGTCATGGATGTGTCCCTGGGACACTTAGGACCAGCTGAGCTGGTTCTCCCCCACCTGAGGGGTTCTGTGGGCACACCTCAGAGCCCCCAGCACACCCTCAGGTTTGGTGGTGTGTTCACAGCCGAGCTGAAACGTTCACCTCCTCAGCTGGAACGGGCCCCCACGAGGTGTGTGCGCCACGTGGGACAGCGCTGGGTGAAGTCCCAGCAGATTCTCTGGGTGTTTTTAGTTATCATCGTGCTGGGAGAGCTCAGCCTGGGTCCTTTCCCAGAGCTGAGGTGTGGCTGGTACCTGGAAAAGTGTCTCTTTTCTGTGTGCTGAGTGGAACCTTTCTGAAGGTGGCAGTGAGGGGGCATCCCTGCCTGGCTGGGCAGGTCTGGTGACAGGAGCCTTTAGGGAAGGTTTGTAACTGCACCTGGGCTGCCTGGGGCTGTTTCTAGAACAATTATCTGCCAATATAGTGAAAAGTGGACATGAGGCTGCACCCCTCACCCACTGTTTGGGTAGTGCTGGGATCAGCTGTGATGGGTGTGAACTACATCCATTCGATGGGAGATGGGAAGGAATTCCTCCCTGGGTTTGTCCTGATCCACGTGCCACCTAAAAAGTGACTGTGGGGTTAAGGACCTGTGACCTTTGGGTAAATGAGCTGTGACCTTTGGGTTAATGACCTGTGACCTTTGGGGTAATGACCTGTGACCCTGGTGTTAATGACCTGTGACCCTAGTGTTAAGGACTTGTGACCTTTGGGTAAACGACCTGTGACCTTTGGGTTAATGACCTGTGACCCTGGTGTTAATGACCTGTGATCTCGGGGTTAATGAGCTGTGACCCCGGGGTTAATGACCTGTGACCTTTGGGTTAATGAGCTGTGACCCTGGTGTTAATGACCTGACCCCGGGGTAAACGACCTGTGACCTTTGGGTAAACGACCTGTGACCTTTGGGTTAATGAGCTGTGACCCTGGTGTTAATGACCTGTGACCCCGGGGTTAATGACCTTCCCACATTCCCCTTGCCACTTGTGACCTTTGGGTAAATGACCTGTGACCTTTGGGTTAATGACCTGTGACCTTTGGGTTAATGAGCTGTGACCTTTGGGTTAATGAGCTGTGACCCTGGGGTTAAGGACCTGTGACCCAGGGGTAAATGACCTGTGACCTTTGGGTTAATGAGCTGTGACCTTTGGGTAAATGACCTGTGACCCCGGGGTTAATGACCTGTGACCTTTGGGTAAACGACCTGTGACCTTTGGGTTAATGAGCTGTGACCCTGGGGTTAATGAGCTGTGACCCTGGTGTTAATGACCTGACCCCGGGGTAAACGACCTGTGACCTTTGGGTAAACGACCTGTGACCTTTGGGTTAATGACCTGTGACCCTGGTGTTAATGACCTGTGACCCTGGTGTTAATGACCTGTGATCTCTGGGTTAATGACCTTCCCACATGCCCCTTGCCTAAAGCTGAAGAAAGGCCACTGGCACGCAGTAGCAATGAACTTAAAAAGCCCCAAATTACATTATTTCCAGCTTCAGTCTCCATGTTTATTGGTGCCTGGAAGGCTGAGCACTGTGTGTGTGCTTAGCCCAGTTAGTTGATTATCCCCTGTTAATTGATTCTGTTAGAAAGCAGTGTCCTGTTCCTGCCTTGTGTGGTCCTGTGTCTCCAATCACAGGGATTTGCTCAATTTGATCAATAGTCTTAGGAGTGAATATTTAATTTTTAGACCTTTGATTGTGGTTTGTTTTGCAGCCTTACAGTTAACTGCTGGCAGCCTAATTAATAGCTTTGGGAATTAATAGCAGGGTGTTAACACAAGGTGGGAAGTGTGGGAAGGGCACAGGGCAGGTGGGGATCCAGGCTCTGCTGCTTTTCCATCCTCACAGAGGAAATTCCTTGGAATTCCCTCAAAGCAAATCACCTGGAATTACGGGGAACTGTGAGTGTGCACAGTGCAGCGTGTTCATTTTCAAAAATTCACTTTTAATACAATTTATTTTACATTTTGGGAAGGAAAATCAGAAGCACAGCTATGAGAGAGCAGAGGATATTTGGGGAATTTAAAGGCATGTGCAGCCTCTTCCTGCAGGAGGCTGTGAAGGATCCCAGCTGGATCCCTGGGAATGGGGCTGAGCACACAGGGCTGCGAGGTGCTGGCTGCTGCAGGTTGCTGTGCCTCGGCTCTGCAGTCAGTGGTGCTCTTGGGGATTGTTCTGTCACTGTGCTGAGCCTAGAAAAACTTGAAATGATGAAATAAACGTGTGGGAGAGAAGCAGCATAAAAATCCTGGGTTTAACAGCAACATAAAATACTGTTTTATGTGGAATAAAATATTGAAGCTTGAGGAACCTGTGCATGGAGTGATGTGTGGCTGGAGAGGCTCCAGCTCAGGCTCTGGGCAGTGAGAGGGGCCTTGGCCCCACATTGCTGTGCTCTCTGCTCCCACGCCAGTGAGGCAACAGAGAAGGTTCCAGCAATGCAATTGCAGCCCCATTTTGGGTTGGGATTGCTTTTATTTCCTTTCTTCATTTTGCATCTACTGGTGCTGCTGCTCGTGCATCTCCCAGGCAAATGTTCCCTTAAATATTTCAAGGCAGCCTGGCTGTGAGTGTGGATTTTGTGCCAGGTTTAACATAAAGACTAAACAGGAGCTTGTGGAGATGCAGCTCCTCACTGTGCTGCATCTTCCTGGGCTCTGCTGGGGGAGGAAACTGCATTTCCCAGCACTGCCACGCCAAGGCTCTGAAATCTGGCTCAAAGAAATCCTAAATGCATTAAATTTGCAAGCACCAGCACTTACCTGCAGTAATTAAGGGATGGGGTGTCTGGTGATCTCTAATACCCCTCTGCAGCTCCTGCATGAAGAAGTGGGTGTTTATTTTCCTCACATGCAGGTTTTTAATGGCAGCAGTGAAGAAGGTAAGAGATGAGCCTGTGCTTATGGACTCTGTAAATTAGCAGTGAGCACAAATATTAAAAAAGGCACCATCTGCCATAGAATCCATTTGCCACCTGTTCCCTGGCTCTCAGCATTATTTAAGGGTTTAAATGTGGTGGTTTAGGCTGCCACGGAGCAGCTGGGAAGTGACTGAGCCTTTTCCTCTCAGCACCTTAATGCTGTGTGCCAAGGCCAGCTCTCGGTGCCAGCTCTGTGTCTGAGCTCTGTCCGCGGCTGTCAGTCCCTCCTCAGCAGGGCTGCTGACTGAGCCAGGCTCAGAGCACGCCTAGAGCTGGCTCCTGGGCTGGGCAGGGACCTGCTGCTGCTCCCAGCAGAGGCACAGACTGTCCCACGGGGCCTGGGAAGGGTGCAGGGCTGGGGAAGGCAGTGGGCTTGGTCCCACTCAACCCTTGAGCTCAGCCCGAGGTCCCCAGGAAATCACAGAAGCCCAGGGTGGATTGGTTTGGAGGGACCTCAGAGCCCACCCAGTGCCACCCCTGCTGTGGCAGGGACACTGCCTCTGTCCCAGGTGCTCCAGCCCCAATGTCCAACCTGGCCTTGATGTTCCAGATGTTTCCTGGCCAACCTCTTCCCTCGCAGCTCCTTACTGGGAGGGCTGGGCTGAGCCACGTGTCCAAGCTCTGTGCACACTCTTTCCTTCCTTGTGTTAATGAGATAATTAACAGCTGCAGTCCAGTGAGTCAGTGCTGGGAAGCAGCTCTGGCTCTGCAGGTGGCTCTGCTGGGCCCTCTCCCACCCTTGGGGATCCACTCCGTGGGAATTCTCCTCGTGCAGTTCTCAGCTCACACCAGCCCAGCCCTCCCCTGCACAGGAATTCCACGGCATTAGCTGAGCACAAATGAACGATTTTGGGAGAAAGGCCAAAGTTCCAGGCAGGAATGTGGTGTTCCCCTCCTGGGGAAGCCTCCTGGCCTTGCTGGGTGTGCCCCGTGCGTGGCCCTGGCACGGACTGGCCTGGCAGTGCTGGGTGGCTCTAACGAGCTTGCTGTAAATGATGTGCTGCTCTAATGCTGGCTAACGAAGCAGGTAAATGAATGTTTATAGTTATTAAAGTGATCACTTCCTGCCTGGGCTAGTATTCAGCACAAAGTCACGTTTTGGTTCCCTGTCTGTGCTGGCGCACAGAGGGGAGGTGAGCTGGGACAGGGGCTCAAATCATGCCCAGAGCCCACTGAAGTGGTACCAATTCCCTCCTCCCTGCACAGTGAGTCCCTGCTGGCAGCTGGAGCTGCCCAGTCAGGCCCTGTAAGGAGCAGGCTGATGGCTCCGTGTGAAAATTCAGCTTGCTTGGGTTACCAAGGCAAAGTGCAGGAGGAGGGCAGGCAGGGTGAGGTCAGGCACAGCTCTGTGGTATTGCACATTTTTGCACCATCCAAAGCCAATCAGGGGAGTTTTTTTTGGTGCAAATCCATGAGGGGGCCTGACTGGGGTTATGGATCACAGTGCACCTTGTGCCAACAGGGATTGCCAAGGCTTTGGGA